CACCCTCTCTCTCTCTCACTCTCACTCTCTCTCCTCTCTCTCATACACATACAATCTATGGAGTGCAGGGAAATTTAGAAAAAATAAAGGCAATGACATGACAATGTCAAGGAATATAGCAATACTGAGCTAACAGCTGTTGATTTGTGATACTATGAAACAGGTTTTGAAATGTGCCGTTTGCAGCCTTTAGTAAACTACAGGCCATTTTAGGTCAGCAGGTTAGATTATGTTGAGTAGTTAATATTAATGGGCCACTGTTTGTGATGGGCATAGAGATTATAAAATAGAGTAGTAAACACAGAATCCTTAGCCTCTTCTCTTATTTTCTTCTGTGAATTTAAGTTATAAGCCATCCAGAGCATTCTTGGGTGTTCCATTTAGAAAAAAACTGTTTTAAGGAAACAGATTTTAAAATTAAATTTTATATATCATCATTTTCCTCTAAAATGATTTAAAATAAAGAATCATTTAAAGATGTAACATGTCTGAATTTCTTCCTTCAGTAGCACTTCGGTGAAAAGAAAGTCATCTTAGCAATGTAAAAACCTGAAATAGGTTAAAAGTATTCCTCCCCCTAAAATTTCTTGAAAAATGTCAAAAATCTGCTGTTTTGCCTTCCTGGTATATATTTAATAAGGAATCAGAGAATTTCCTGCCCGTTTCCTTTGGATCTCATAAAAATCCCTGCCAGGTCAACAACTGTTATTATCCCAAGTGTCTGGAAACAGCCTGGAGAGTTATCAGCTCTTTCAAGTTCACAGGGAAGGTAACAGGCTGTATGGTGGCCAAGGTCTTCATACCAGCCGTGGAGTATACTGACGGGCAAGCAGAATCAGTGAAAGCATTTTGTATTCAGATACATAGGACATTTTTTAAAATCACCAGCAAATTACCGTGAAAACCCCTGCCTGCTTGTTACCGTCAAAGTGTCTCGAGACATTTCAGGCAAAGCTGAAGCACAGTGGGGCAGAGCCATATAAGAATTCATTTAGACCATGAACTTTAATGACCCACCCAACGTTCTCCCTTGTTTCCCCTTCCAAGTAAATATTTTTCAGTATGAGACAGCGTTTCTCCCCATTTTTCCTTCACTGAGTAGCAAGGGCCACATCTGCATGAACGGGCCGCACTTTTATAGGCCCTACTGCTCCCAGCGCCATCGTCTTCAGCAGCAGTTCCTCACCTGGTTCTCCAGGACAGGGCAAGTGACATACACATGCACACCTTTCTCTCCGACTCAGAGATGCCTAAGGGATTGCAAGTGGGCGGGATGCCATTCTGGGAACGTTCTTCAGGCTTCTTCAACATTGAGAAGGGAGGTAACTCATTCACGAACCTTGGTGCTTTGTTATTAATAACATTAGTATTCAACAGCCGCCTGAGGGGTAGGCACCAATATACCCATTTTACAGAGGGGGAAACAACTTACCTGGCTAGGAGCTAAAATCATTAGGCTGTTGAACCTGAACTCAAACTCAAGTCTGCTGACCACAGAAATTGATATTACCCTCTGTGCCTTCCACCCCTGGGCCATGGGGCCAGTGCCTCCAAAGGTATGTGGCCATGGGCAGAAGGGGTTGAGGATGGGGTGGAAGCCCCCTCAGAGGCCCCACCAGTGTGGGCTCTGGGCTCCAGGACAACCTTTAAGGAGCTAGGCTACCACCAGAGGTCCCTGTGCCAACATGTGCCTCAGCCAAGGAGCCCCTGGATACCAGGCATTGAACTCTTCCTGTATATTGGGCTCAATGCTGAGCTTGTTACTCACATTTCTGCATTTGACTCTTAAAACAGCCTACAAAGTGGATACTGTCCCTGTTTTGCAGATGGGAAAAACCAATGCTTAGCACCAGCAAGAGATTTGGCAGTAAAGGGCGGTGCTGAGATTCATGTCCCACTTTCCTGGGTCCAAGTCCTAGCTCCACCACCTCCATCAGCAGTGTGGTAGGGTGACAGGGAGAAGTTGAAAATGGTCCAATCTTTACCAGGCCGCATAGACCACTCAATGTGTCTCTTGTTCCCTATGCCACACCAAACCTCCAGTCAAGGGATTGCGGTCTCAGAATTTTTCACCATCTCCTGCTAGTTATGTAGGCACCCTAGCACTCTAGGTGCCCCCCGCCGTTCCCAGTTGATTTTTTCCCATTCCAGGGATTGGCTTTTCTCCCCCCACTGCATCTTGAGGTGCTGCACGCTGAAGTAGCATGCATCAGGGCCTTCAGGATGGCAGGCTTCTGGGGGTCCAAGCCCTGACCTTGGGCACTCTGGTGTAAAGGGGGAGGGACAGGGAAAAGGGAAACTGGATGTTACTGTCCTCTCTTCATGGCAAAGCTGTGCTCTAGCTCTGAATCCTTGGTTGCACTTAAAATGTGGAGTCTTCCATCATTGTCTCTTAGAATTAAATTCTATCACCAAAGGCCTCTGGCTGGCTTAGTTACTTTAAAATGAAGGGTTTAAAAAAAGAAAGAAAGATTTAGGGGAGAGAAATAAATTAATTGCTCTTTGTAATGCAAATATTTGAGTATTTTTAATCTCTCCCTGGGTGGTCCTATCCACAGGGTGCTAACCTACAGAACCTCCTAGAGAGTCCACTGTGCAACTGGCATAGATCACTGGTTCTGCAGAGAGAGTATTTCTTCTCCTGCTTCTTGGTGATGGAAAATAATTACAGAACTGGGATAGAAGAGGGACTCTACTTTTTTGTGTTGGCTTGTGTGTTAAAATTTTCTTTTGGCTGGCCTTTATTGTTTCAAACAAGTTATTGTTAGTGTGGACAGAAAGACATTTAGGACCAATGACACATATCTGGAGGCCTGCCCTGCGTAGTGACTGGGTTTTTACAGGAGCTATCAAATTGAATCCCGCTACAGTCTTGTGAGGGAGGTGTTCTTGCCTGCACGTCACTGACAGGTCCCAGTGCCCGAGGGTAAACAGCCCCCTGACAGAGCCCCACAGCTGACGTCTGAGGCCGTGGCTGGCCTGCGGGGCAGCCTCTCACCACGCAGCCCAATGTCCACACAGGAGGGGAAAAAAATAACCTTAGTGTTAGCCAACAGTGATGTAGAGGGAGTCTCTCAGAAGGGAGAGTGGAGTTTATTCTTTAAAATCCTGTATTGTCAGCATTGTAAAATAATACAACTGACACACACCGAATAATTATTACATGTCAGGACAAAGTGCTTTTACTAACCCATCTACATCTCACAACTCTGTAAGGTAGGTCCTGTCATCATCCTGTTGCCCGGAGGAGGAAACCGAGGCACAAAGAGGCCAAGTTTGCTGGCCTGGTGGCAGAACCCACATTTCCTGAGGATATGTCAAGCACTCAGATGGCTGTAGAAGAAATATATAACAAGTGTTACCCCTTAACATTTCAAAACTAAAAACCCTTGAAACCCTTAAAATTAGACGGAAAGTGCCAAACTGGCTGTTACCACATGAAGATGAGATCTTCAGAAACCTAAAATTGAGAAGTGAGATTTTCATAGATTTTGTTTTCTGATTGGTAAACTGACTTAATATAAAGTTTAACTAGATTCTATTACATATGCATTTAATAAATTTGTTAAAAGTGTAAAGTACCCAAAATTAGAAATAACTGGTAAATGATTTCCTTAAGGTAAAAAGTATTAATACCAAGGCTTTCTCATCTTTCACTCCATAATCTCATTCTTGCTGTTCTTTCTGCTTTTATCTCCTTTATTTCCGAGAAGAAAAGGACAAGAGAAACCTTTAAAGTGAGGAAAGTGTAGGCTTTTAAGCAATATGCAGGCTTGCTGTCTTTAATGGCTCTCTGTGGCTCTCGGTCACACATCAGTGTGAGATGATTGGGGGAAATCCTCAGAAGGCAGTAGGCAAACTGCCTTGTTTGTCAGCACCTTCTGACCTTGGACCTGTGTGTCCACCTTCAGAGGCAGGCCCTGAGAAGCCAGGGCCCATCTGTTCCTCTCAGTGCGCATTTGGTGTAGGATGGCACTGCTCATGCTTGGCAGTCTGTCAGGGTCTCTCCCCAAACTAAGGGTTCCTGATGCCTCCCCTCCCACCCAATGCCCCTTTCAGTAGAGAGCCTGTCATGCCCACCATCTTCTTCCCTCCACTTACTGAGGGCTCTCTACCTGACTAGTTGCATGACATAGGAATGAACCACCATCTATTTTATCTATTCCCATACACATTTTGAGAACAAAATAAGAGAACTCTCCTTCCCCACAGAATTTCTTTCTCAGAGGAGGAAGGTCAGACAAAGCCATGATGCCTTTCATCAGAGCAGCAAGCAGGTCATGATTGATTATTGCCAGAGTTCACAGGCTAAATTAAAGAACTAGTCAGACACATGCTTATTCTAGAAAAGGCTGGAGGGATAAAGAGTTACCCCTTACCTTCCTGTTCTCAGCTGCTGGGAGCACCAGGCTGCCTGTTCCAACTTCTCTGAAATTCTTGCTACAAGGTGGTCCTACTGCAGCTACCTACATCCACCTTCTCTGGATGCAAGGTCATTAAACTCTAACCTGAAATCCTCTGGGTAAAGGCCTCTGTCACAACTTTCAGAGTCACTTTAGCTTTTTCTAGAAGCAAATGTAGCTTTTCTTTTATTTCTAAGTAATTCTATGCCAAGATGCAAACACATGCTCTAGTGGCAAAACTTTAAGTTCTTCATAATTATGCTCTGTCTTGCTTTACTTTTTATAAATTGGAATACAACTTTAAAAGATTAATTAAATGCTGTGGTGCAAGAACAAATGGAGAATTTAGATTACATACAAGATGAGAGTGCAGAGTCTGCTCTGGTGAATTTCTCTGTGACTGTGAGTGCTGCCTGCATAGATAGATGTAACTTGCTTTCAAAAGGAGATTCTCTCCTTTGAGCAAGGCAGGACAGCAAAGCAATCCTGTGGCTAGTAATCCTCTCCAAACTCCATTCAAAACTGGCTTTACTGCAAGTTTGTGTTGAAGATGTAACACTTTAACTACTTAAGCCATGATTTCTATTTTGTAGTATAATTAAGGGCAATTACTCTGGTCAGAGCTTCTAGCCCAGGTGAGGCTGAGTTAATAAATAGCAGTTTGCCTCTAGCATTAGCAAGGGGATCTTCATTAAGGTGGTGATGTGTGAAGAGGACTAAATAGGTTGCCATGGTATTGGTGAGTTTGAGCCTGGACTCTGGGTATCCCTGAAATTAAAAATGCTCAGTCTTCAGTAAAAGGTGCTTCCTTACACAGTAGAGCAAAGGAACATTAAATTAGGCCAAACGACTAGATCCAGAAACTCAGTTGCAGGCTGATAAATGCATGGATATTTCAAAAGAAGTATTGACTCTGACAGGTTTGGGGAAAAAAAGTTGTTGAATCTCTGTATCTATCCATCCATCTGGAGGGACTGTTTTTTGGCACATGGAAAAGCTGCTGCTCTCCTTCAGAAAACCCTGCCCACACACAGGACCAACTAACCCACAGGGATTAGGTCTTACTCATCTTTGAGTCCACAGAGCCTAGCACACAGCAGATGTTCAAGAAATGTCTGCTAAATGAATGCATAAATTTTGCTTGCCCCTCAGACTACAGTGGCCTAACAGTCAGGCAGTTTGAAGTGTGCATCTATCCCCGACCAACCTCCAGCAGGTTCAGAAGACAGTGGATCCTCCTCAGGGGGCCGTGACAAAGCACGGGAAACTGGCAGAAGCAAATGGCCTGTGTAGGAATGGGGCAGTGTGATTGATTACTCATATAATGGTTCTCAAAGTGGCCCTGGACTGGAAGGATTCAAATCCAGAATCTGCTGAAGATCCTGGGTAACTTAACAGAAGTTATTCCCAAAACTTTGCAATTACCTAAAAGACGATGATGACAGTGTATCATAGTTCTGAATAACCCAGTTTCATTCTGAAAGTATTAATTTTTCAAAACGCTGGGGAGAACATTTGATTTCATAAGGCCTTATTTTTTTATCTTCATGCCTTCTATGCTTATGTTTCATGGAAATATTAATTAGCAGGCAAGTACAAAGTAGTCCTGATTCAGGTGGGAAAAGGAGCCACCACCTGCCAGTGTAACCTGTCCAGCCCACCTGTGCAAGTTTTTTGTTTTAAAATGGATGATTCTGAGCAAAGTAATTTTTTTCCTTTTACGTATTTTCTCAAAGATCTATCATCCTAAATATCTTCTTATTAGTTTGGGAAAGGAGCTCTGAAAGCTCAAAGTTAAAATTTAAAGAATTTTCTAGCTAAACCTAAATTATTTGGAAAATTCGGGTTAAGCAGACTATGTATTTAACATTAGCTTCATTGTCTATTACATAGTAGAAGGTAATTTAACAGTATCAGATCATATAAATATTACCATGAAAATTTTGAAATTTGTTTTTTATTGGTAAAAGCATGAACTGGCATTAGAATCTATACCATAATTAAAGGGATCTCATTCTAATTTTTATGTGTGCTTAAATTTTTCTTTTATGTAACATAACTATAACATAGCAACTGGTTATTAATTATTGCTGTTAATAATTCAGACATATGAAAAGCATTTACCAGGTTGGCCTAGTCTCCACTAGTTTGTATCAAATTTCTTGTCACTAATAAAAGTTCCAATGGCTAACAGAGTCTGCTCCTTCCTCTAGGTTTATTTCAATCTACAGAGGACCCAGCCACACCTACAAGGTCCAGAGACTGACGGAATTCACATGCTACTCCTTCAGAATCCAGGCAACGAGTGAGGCTGGGGAAGGGCCCTGCTCAGAAACCTACACCTTCAGCACAACCAAGAGTTTCCCCCCCACCATCAAAGGTCTGTAGGTTCTGGCACATTCTTCTGTGAGAGTAAGAAAATGTTAGGGCTTAGGGTAGAAGGCTCAATTCTGACCTTAAATGTACTCTTGTAATATTTCTAATATAAGCAAGAAAGAGTCAAAAGAACTTTCTGAAAGTTCTTTAGGAAATGAGAGGCCTTAAAAGAGGGAGCCTACCAATAATGACTTTTCTCAAGTAGTTACAAATGATTGTCACAAATAATTAGTAGTAAGACAGTCTCATCCTGTGTGACAGACTTTGGGCTAGAAATGAGGGTGTATTCCTGGTGTCGTAGCACTTGAGGGGTCCCCAGAGTCTGACTTGGATTGTGTGAAGGTCTCCCACCACTGCTCCATGGGAAATACCTCCCCCCACATCCCTGCCTCAGCAGTCCAGAAGCTCTTTGGCAGTTACTTTTGCATGTGACGCACAAACTAGTAGAAGTGGATGTGCACATGCAAGGCCTTGCAGGGCCAGTTGGCTAGTAAATGCTCCTGCCCTTTGGTATGACTTGACCTTTCAGCTCTCACAGAAGAGGCTCCTGAACATACTGTGGCTGATGACTTCATTGTGACAGGATGGCTTGTCACATTTCCCAGTTAGCAAACTTCAGGGGTCTTCCAGGCACTAACTTTGCCTCTCAAGGTAATTGTTGGTAGAGATGCATCTTGTGGAAAACAGAGCTCTGAATTGATGGCACTTCTCATGGCATGTTTACATCAGAAGGGCAGTTTGCTCACCCTGTCGCGTGACCAGGTCTTCTTCCTCATCCTCTTAGATTCAGGAAATTGTCATCTTAACTCGTGGACTGTTTAGTCTGATAAGATTTCTTGATTGGTTTTTCCATAAATTGCTTGGAGTTTTGGCCAACAGCTTCCAACTTTTTTTTTTCTGAAACAGTATTGTACAGAATTGCTAGCAGAAACAACTTCCTCAAAGGAATTAATTTCATCTAATTATTAAAGAATAAGGGGTTCTGAGAGAGGAGTTATACAGTTTAGTCACAAAATAGAAAAAGACCAGATGCGGAATTAAACTGTAGGAATAGAGCATAGCTATGAGACAATATTTTTAAATTCTGTAACATTTTAAGTGCTTCATTACAAACTAATATGATTTAGCTGTAAACCAGAATGATGAGTCCAGAAGGTGAAAAACAAACTACAAAATAAAAAAACATAACAATTTTTAAAGGCTTTCAGTGATGCCCTTTCTCTAGGACTTACCTGCTCCTCAGACCTCCCTTAGATTCTCACACTGACGTGACTTTCCTTCCCCTGGAACTCCCTAACATTTGTCTGTAATCTCTCATTTTAGTCTGTCTTACACTGTGTTTCTTTTTGTGCTTATCTTATGCCTTGCTCTTCCCTTCCCTCAACCAGATCTTCATTTCCGTGAAAGCAGGGGTTTTTTGTACCTATTTCTACATTCCGCAGAGTACCTAGCTCATCTTCTATGATGCTCAGTACCCATCAAAACAATAACAAAAATGTGATCCAGGCCAAGCTTTTATTAATAGGATACTGAGCAGATGATTTCTCTCTCAGCCATGGCTCGCTAGTCATGGAGTGTCTTCTCCATGCAGAGGGCTGCCTGCTGGTTTTATAGGAGGCTGAGCTGATACACTCCCCTCACAAGGCAGACACAGGCACTCTCTCTAATATTATTAAAATAATTGGCTGTTAAAGTGATACTTTCAATTTTGAGCTTAGAAATTTGGATTTATGTTTTAGCACCTCGAGTAACACAGTTGGAAGGAAATTCATGTGAAATTTTATGGGAGACGGTACCACCAATGAAAGGCGACCCTGTCAACTACATTCTACAGGTACTGGTTGGAAGAGAATCAGAGTATAAACAGGTAAGAACCCGTGTGCAGCTTAGCAGAGTCAGGCTGCTTGCCTCTGCCTATTGCTGGGAATGATTTGGTGATGAGTGAGCTGCATTTTTCTTAAAATCACAACTATAGAAGCTGCCTAATGTACTCGTTACCTAGCTCTTTAGGGTATGTAAGCCCTAGTTTACATTTTATTTTGTATGTGATGGTACTCATCTTAAATTTTAAGTTCTCAAGTGTAATTTTGTCTTTGAAAGAGTTTTAAATTCTCTTTTGAAATTGGGTGGTGATGTTTGCAACTACCAAAGTCTGTATGTGATTGAAAACTAAAGGGCCCAATGGTTTTACTATTGAGGGGAAGTAGTCTTGACCTAACTACTATCTGCCTTTTTAATAGAATTTACAGTGAAGGATAAAGTGTATGACCTGCTAGCTCCTGAGGCCTGGAATTCAGAAGCTCTAGGTCACTGCTTGTCAGCCTTGAATGTACATGGGAATCACCTGGGAATTTGTTAAAATTCAGATTCTGATTCAGCAGATCTGGGGTGAGGGTTCAAGCTCCCACCGATGCTGATGTTGCTGATCCGTGGACCATAATTTGAGTAGCAAGGCTGTCACATGATGAACCCATGCAAGAGAGAATATATTTGGAATATAGCCCAGTAAAGAATTTGGTCATATCATTTTTCATACCCCTTTTTGATCCTTAATTCTTCCCGAGCTCCACACTATCAGTCCCTGGCTATTAAAGATCGAAGTACTCTGTACATTTCTGTAATGTTCTCAGAAATTTAATAATTCTTTATGTGAAGTCAGGATGTAATACTGTTACTCCATAAGTGACCCTGAGGTGCATTCCTACCGCCACTGTTAAGAGAGGCATTAATTTATATCAAACTCAGAAAGTTGAAGCTAAATGCCACCTGTCTTCTGAAACATTAGCATAGTTGTGAAGACTTCTTTATTTAGCTCTTGAGGCTCCAGACACACTAAACAAGTAGAAAATAATTTGATTCAGAGTTTTTGTTAAATTGCTGGTTGATGTTCCTTACATAACAATAAAGAATACTTGCAAATAAAAATGTAAAATGAATCCAAAAAATTCTGGTACATTTCGCTGTACTTTGGTAATTTGAAGTATCAGATAGAAGAGTGAATTTTGCAAAAACTACTGTAACTATGACATCCACTGCTATTAACATCGGTGGATGATATCATCAATGTTTCCATTCTTCTTAAATAAGAGCAAAAACTATCATTTCCTTTCATTTTCCAATCTCATTCTATATAGTATATTCCACCTCAGAATACATAATTTTACAGGTGTAACTGTTTCAGCTTACCAGAAACATCTTATTGGTTTCAGAGTCTCAGCTCACAGAGAGAGCAAAGGATTTTCCCCACTAAATTTAATCATCTTTAACAACAGAAGTATTGTCCTATTCCATAGCAATGTAAAAATGCTTAAAAGATGAAATGTTATGAAATTTCACAACATACCATTTGACACTTAACCATAATTCATTTCCTAACAGTACATTCATTTCACATGCATTATTGTATTTTTAAAACATTTTAGTCCACATACCATGCTTTTCCGCTAGTTCTTGGAAAAAACATTGTTTCTCAGAGCACAGTGATTGCTGTTTTACATTGAAAGAACAGCATTATTTGGTCAGTACCTATAGATCGGACATTGTCAAACTATAGGTAAATCCATTTAGTACTTAAGATTTTATGAGCAGATTGGCTGGTTTGAGTCTACTATTTGTTTAATATATATTTAGACCCACAGACATATAAATACTAATATGATACACAAACACATATATGCCTCAGAAATATATTTCTTATTGTAATGTTATAAATGATTTTCTTATTGAAAATAGATGAAAACACAGTACTATAGGGCAGGCTCAGTAGATGGAGATTAGCATTTTTCCCTTAACCATGTGTTTCCTACATTTACCAAGAAATGATTAAGGTAGGTAGTGGTACATGAAAAGCCACAGTTGAGTCAGGGACAATTTGTCCTGAGGTTTATTTTGTTTTGTTTCATTTTGCTTCTTCCTATTCACTAAACATTAATTTAAACATGATGTTTTGAGTACTTCATTCACTTGTTCTGGACACAAGATAGGGAATGAAACCTATTTATATTATGTGTGCAGAGTAATTGTTAAAATAATTATAGTCCACAGATAACAAAGCCAAAGAAAAGGAGAGGTAATCATCACTGAGCATATACCATGGCGGAGCTGTGGGTTCTTAGGAGCATTGTGTATTCCTCAGTTTCGGCACCAATCAGACAGGACCCACTAATGCCTGGGCTTGCCGTACTCGCTTTTATTTTCTCAGGACGGACACGTAGGGAGGCACTCAGTAAATGTTTCTTGCATCATGAAAGAGGCAGTTTCAAAGGAACAGGGTTATATACTTGCGGTGGTGATAAGATTTAGCATCAGCATGGGGTGGATTTAGAAGTGATGTTTATAACTTAGGTAAAAAAAAATCATCCATAATACGAGGGTGTCCTTCTGCTTCCCAAGCTTTTTTTTACAGGCAACATATGGCAAGAGCCAAGGCTTTTTCTTATGGTTTTGCTTCATTCATTGACTTTAGCTTTGCCTTTGTTCTAGCTCATTAGCTTTCTTTTGTTTGGCTATTGCAATGTAAGATGAGCAGCTCATTTTAATTATGAAACAATCTCTTAAAGTAGTAAGTCCTCACCTAAAATTTTACTCTTAGAATGTATACATATATTGATTTGGTTTTTCTGCCATTTAATACACATTCCAAGCACAAGCTTTTTTTAAGAATATTAAAACTTCTTTTCAAACTGTATTAATTATAAAGAATTTTTGCAAAGAATGAAGTGTGTGTATATGCAGGTAACTGATATTTTTTTGCACAAGATATAACTTAGACAGCTTAATGCATACATAAGGTAAGTCAGGATGATTCATACTCATATTCCTGTTGAGACAGCAAGAATTTTTACAAAAAAAATACATTTAAACATTGAAGATAAAGGTGATAAACTAAGAAATTGCTACCTATTAGAAGTCAAAAGTTATGACAAAGTAATATTCTTGGTACCCAGATTTGTTGCCTTCAGAAAACTTTTGAAGTGTCTGTAGATTTATGGACCTTTACATTTAATTTGATGGTTTCTGTGTAAATATACTTTCATTTTGTGTCATTAGAATATAGTATTGATGTGTATTGATTCTTCATGATCGCACATAAGGAAATACTGTGAAGAACGAACTTCCCTTAACAAAACTATTTTAAAGCCTTGGAGCATACTTTTTTTTTCTTAACAGCTTTCAATTCAATTTTCTAATACAGAAATTAAACAGTGAGGCTATGATTGTCTCATTGCACAATTTTTTTATTTTTGCATGAATAAAAGGTCAAATCCAAAGCACAGTAGGAGTAATACAGAGATATTTAAAAGCCATCATTTATTTTTTAGGTTTACAGGTCCTTTTAAGTATTTGTTAAAAGCCATGACCCCCTTACACCAGAAAAATGCTCAAGCATACATCCATTCAAAATTTCATGTGAAACAAATTCATATTCAATTTCATGGAGTCTGCATATAGGAGCCTGGGTTTGCTGAGAAACTGCTAGGTGCTTCCTACTGGGAGGGATGCCTGCATATATGATAACAGCATGGCCAGTGCTCTCAGGGTTTAATGACCCACTGGGGTGAAAACAGCGTGCCCCCAAGAAGTAGCTCAGGAACACGTCCCCTTGCCTGTCTTCAGGTCAGGAACAGTGATGCCTTCCTAGTGTTGCACCCACTACAGAGGTTAGTGGATTCCCTCTTGAGCTTGGGGGATGGGGAGGCAAGGGGTCTAGTTTGCCTCCCATAGTCATGTGATATTGGAGGAGTTGATTCACCTCCCAGAGCCTCAGCTGTCTTGTTAGAAAAGTAGGGATTCTAACCTTCTAATTCAGGGCTACTGTGAGTATCAGATTGGCTCAGTCGTGAGAAGACGGTGCCATCAATCATGTCTCCCTTTCCAGTTCTTGGGAGAGGGATGACATTAGTAAAGAGATACAGGCATTAGTCCAGATACAAACCTCCCATAATCCTACCCAAAATGCTATGCTTAGAAGATAACACCGCATGTTATTCTGAATTAAGGGTCACAGATTCTTCATTTTGGCTGAGCATTACTTTAAATCCTTCCATTTGGAATAAACATGTCAAAATTACTTTAAAACGTATTTAACATCAAATCAAGAACAGAAATAGTCATTGTAAAATAATACTGCTTATATACTTTCTGTGATATTATGATTGCTTACTTCAATAAAAAAATTTTTAAGTGGAGCTGTACCTTTTAAATTGGGTTGAGGCAAGGAGAAAAGCCCATAATGGTTCCCCTGTCACAGCGAATGAAAACAAAAGGGTGCGAGGCCCAGTCTGCTGCCCTGGCGCGGAGAGCTGCCCAGGCCCAGGAAGAGTCATTTCAGTGGAGGCACAGCTGGGTGGCGGGTCTGATGACCCTGTGATTTTGTGATCCCATGGCTATGATTATTTACACAAAAACACATCAGTTATCTCAAGCTTCAGGAGCCAAAATCCTCAGAATATGGAGTAATAGGATTGTTTTAATGTTTCCTCAGCTAAGAATTAATCCAAAAGGCTTAGTCATTATTGTTAACTATTTCTAAAATATATTAAAACTCCTTATTTCCTGTCCATACACTGTAAACAACTTAATCGTTGTAAAAAATGGAATCATTAACAATGATGGCTGTGCCTGTAATAACTGCAGCGTTTGTGAAAATAAAACCTAAATTAAGACAGTAAAAACCATTCACAATTAAAAGATCTCTTTAAAGAAAAAAAAAGTACACCATTGTCTTTCTGAGACCACCCACATGTTAGGAAATAATTCATAGACAGCTCCATCGTGGTATATAGTCTGATCTCTTGCATAGCTGGTGGTGTGTGGGTTGAGCGATCACCGTGACAACCGGCTCATCTTTAAATATCCCTTTAATGCTAACGCGTCATTGGTACCGTGAGCTGTGAGAAAGGAGTGAGCTCAGTACTACCAGGGGTTTTCTTACAGCTCTTTCATTCGCTTCTGTCTGTAACTCTGGTTTCCAAGGCTCATTGCACAATCATGAAAGAAACAAGGTGGCTCACCAGGAGGAACATACTTAAAATCTTATAAAACGAGTAGCAAAAGCAATGATGAATCTGGAATATGAGGAGCAAACAATTGGTTTTCTGGGGCTCAGTCACTAAACAAAAGTATAATAAATAAGGCAGTTAAAGTCTGCCTGTAAAGTTTAAAAGTGAGGGGAGAAAAATCTTAAGAAAAAGGCTAAATATCAGGTGAACTTTAGAAGTCTGGTCCCTTTTCTAAGCTTCTTGCTGTCTTTAATTTGCCCAACACTAAATATGTAGCCAGCACTCTTGTGTTCACTGGTGGAAGGTCCTCTTTCCTAGTAGTTTACCCACCGGACTTTGAAAAACACTGAACGTGTGTAGATTCCCACTAACTCTGGCAAGTGTTTCAGATAAAATTGAGATTGTTGGAAATACCCTATTTTCTAGAGTATTTGCACTGATGGGCAAAATTGACAGCTTTACTAAGTAGCCTGTCGATAGGTTGAAAATGCCTGTATCTATCACTTTTAATTGCTGTTGTAAAAATATATTTGGAATTGTTTTTAAGTTCTAAATAGTATAATAATAGTTAGCTTTTACTGTTCAGTTACTATATAGTAGGCATGTTTTATGCACTATAAAAATGCTAACTCAGAGCCACTCAGATAGAAAGGGTTCAGTTAATTTTATTCTCTAAATTCCTTATCAGCCAACTATCTTACTGATTTGGTTGAGTTTCAGCTAGTTTTTTTCCTGTCTTATTCACTGACTCTAATATAAGCCATGAATTTTTATGTACTTTTAATGATTACCATTTTCTCTTAAGTTTTCTGAGGATCCGTATCACTTGACAGAAGCATCTTGCGAGACCACCTTCTCCTATCCTCCCTCAAAGAGTCAACCGTTAGCTTTAGTCAACTCAGAGGGTAATAATCTCTAAGTAAGCTGGTAGTTTTCAAGTCCCTGTATAGTAAATCTTAAGGTGATTATATCAGGGTTAACAGGGGCAAGAACACATCCCAGATCCTTAAGGAAAAAAACAGCTTGGTCATATAGAGAAGAAACACTTTCAGACAAACAGACCATTAAATTATTTAAATGTTAATATGTGATGAATTGGACTGCATCACAAAAAATTCTCAATTTGGCAAGCCACAAAACTGGAAGAAAAATGTTCACCACCCTTAGTGACAAAGAACACCTCTCCAGATTATATAAAGAATCTCCAAGAAGTTAATAAAAGCAAACAAAAATAGGCAAGAAGATTTTAACATACTCTTCACAAAAGAAGGTTTATGAATGACCAGTAAGCATATGAGGGTGGAAAACATCATAAATGCAAATAAGTAGCATCCCCACCCACTAGAATGGCTAAACGTAAATAACTGACAATAAATGTCGGTGAGGATGTAGAGCAACGGAAACTCTGATACAAGAGTGCAAAGTGATACGGTCACTTGGGAAAACTGTTTCTCATGAAGTTAAATATAGACTTTCCCTGTGACCCAACACTTCTACTCCTAGAAAATTAAAACTTAAGACCTCAAAGATTTATACAAAATTCTCATAGCAGTCTTATTATGTAAAGCTCCAAACTGGAAACAATGCCAGTGTCCATCAGAAGAGAATGCACAAATTGAGATATAGACATATGTTCCACAATAAAAGGAACAACTACTGAATCAGTAACACAGATGAATCTTATAGGTACAAGAGAGTACATACTTTTTGATTCCATTAATATGAATTTCTAGAATAAGGCAAACTAATTACAAAATTAGAATAATGTATACCTCTTAGAGGTGAAGGGTGGGTATCTTGATGGGATAGTGTTATACGGTGTGTCCAGTTGGCAATCAAGCAACTGAAACTTTGCATTTTATTGTTTGTACAATTGTTTCAATTTAAAAAAACGTTAATTTGTTCTGCAGGCTTAGATCATAGAGCCCTTTGTAAGAGTTACTATCTTCTGATTTATAGCCTACAGTAACTGGAGACATCTTTATTATGTCAGCTGTAATTATAGTCAGTGCCATCTTGCCTGTCAACATTAGTCACTGAATTTTGTATTATGTTTTATGCAGAATGGGTTGGAATACTACTTTTTTTTTTAGATGAAATACAGATTGGGAGAAATACCTTTCTATATAATTTGTGGTGGTGGTATAGAATTAATTTAAACCAAGCCAGGTCCATGAGACCCCTGATGTTATGTGATCATTACTTCAGAGATCATAGTGTTGTTATAAATTAATTGACTGGGTCTTTTCCTTGTCTTGAAGGTGTACAAGGGAGAAGAAGCAACATTCCAAATCTCAGGCCTCCAGACCAACACAGACTACAGGTTCCGTGTGTGTGTGTGTCGTCGCTGTTTAGACACCTCTCAGGAGCTAAGCGGAGCTTTCAGCCCCTCTGCAGCTTTTGTATTACAACGGAGTGAGGTCATGCTTCCAGGGGACATGGGGAGCTTAGAGGATCCCAAAATGAAGAGCATGATGCCTACTGATGAACAGTTTGCAGCCCTCATTGTGGTTGGCTTTGCAACTTTGTCCATCTTATTTGCCTTTATATTACAGTACTTCTTAATGAAGTAGACCCAACGAAACTAGAGGTATGGAATTTAATTAATGCTACACATTTTACTACACACATTTATTCAGATACTCCCCTTTTTAAGTCCTTTTACTCTTTGATTTATATACTTCTCTTGTTTTACAGATTTAGCTAGAAAGAAATATCAGTGTTTTGGTGCACCTTTTTGAAATGCAAAACTAGGAAGAAAGTAAACTGGATTTTTTTTTTTTACAGAAGAAAAGCAAACCAGAAACCAAAAGCTAGCTTTCTTGTATTTTCTTTTAAATTTTCAGATTTGCCTTTATTCTGTTGTCATTGATGTCTTTTGCAAGCTTTTGATTTTTTTTTCCATGTTACAGTTTAGTAATTTATATTCACCAGTCACTTCTTACGTCTTGATCATGTGTATCTGTGAACACGAACCACAGTGTGTGTAGATTCAGGACTAGGGTTTCCGCATTGTCAGAGTGTTACCACCCAGCCACCACAACATACAGAAGATGTGTTCACCCAGATAAGGCTGCCCTAAACAACCATTTTGTCACTCAGTTGCTTAACTGTGTTTAGGTCATTTAAATCAAAATGTGTACTTTAATCTGAAATGTTTTAATAATCTGTGTTTCGTATGATTTTAACACTATGAGCTGCCTGTCTAAGAAATCAAATAACCAAAATGCACCTATAAATTATGGAACATTGTAGATTTTTACCCCATCGATTCATCGCAGTACCTTTAAGAGGGCATTGTGCAATAGTTAGTTGTTCCTTGTTCAGCTATTTTAAAAGCTGCTTTAACTTGTTTGTTTGTCTTTGTATATAACTACTTCTAATCTAATCACTAGAGTTATTATATTCGGTTATGTTTGACCAGAATTATATGACGAGAACTGGTGACAGTTTAGTGCCTCTGCCCATTGTCCATGATTTACACTAATTGTGAGCAGTCTTCTTACACGTCAGCTCATTATTTTTGAAAGGTTTGCCTTTAGGCTGTTCTTTGAGGTATCAATGAAGTGATTGAATTTCAGTATCTTAATTCAGTGCACATAATACTATCTAACAGCAGGTAAATTGGTAAAACCCAAAAGAGACTTATCTAAATTTGTAGTTCCTGTTTTTTGTGGGGTTGACCTGGCCATGTGTGGAGAGGGAATGGTATTTGGTGGTAAGCACAGGGTGTTTGGGGGTCAAAGAGCCTAGATTCTCTCTCTGGATCTGTCACTAACTTGCTGCGTGACCTGAACACGTCACTTTACCTCTCTGTGCCTCAGTGTTCCCATGCATTAAAAATAAAATAAAATAAAATGAAATAAAACGGGGATTCTAATGTTTGTAAGTCTTTTGAGATCCTTGATCAACAGGTGCTATTGGAGTGCAAAGTGTTACTCTTGCATGTTCATTTTGAGTCATGAGATAATCAATTTTAACCCAAAGTCATTGGATTATTTATATGGTGTCCACAATGTTCGCGTACCTCAGGGACATTTAAGAGTTGGAGGTGCAAATATATTCCAAAAGGGTGCAACAGACACAATGTATCCCCCTGCTTCTGTTTTTGTATATTTTTGCTACTTGGTTTTTCTTGATCATAGCTATTTTATGCTTGGTCTGTGTTGTCTTAAGATGCAGTATCCTGTACTAGCTTATAATATTCCCATACCAAAGTCATGGGGAAACCAACATTATTTTGTTTTTGGTTTATTTATACTATATTCTGCATACAGTACTTTAAATGCCAATTACAGTGCAATCTTTATTTATTGTAAAATTTTTAAAGTGTACTTATGTACTAATTTTCCCTTGTAGCATGTTATTTTTTTGTGTTTTATACTTTTGTAATTTTAGGAAAGTCTTGTTCCTTGGCAACATCTGTAGTATTATCAATCTTCTGGCATTTTCTTGTGTTTTTAAAGATAAGAGCATCTAGTGCATCAAATGCCAAAAAAAAAGAATCCATTATCAGTGATTGAAACGTTTACATGTATCCAAAAAACCATAATCATCTCTTGAAAGAAAGTGCTAAGATCAGTGAATTATTCTCTGTGCCTATATTGATTGATGTAGTATTAGAGAGTTCTGTATTTTGTTACTGACTATAAGAATTAGTTTAATTAGCCTTGCAAACTGATGGCATCGAGGTAAATATATTTTTGCCAAAGTTCTGACCTTCCAAAACTCATCCCTCTATTTAAAATAACGTGTGTTATGAACCACTGTAAAACGTGGCATCTGCGTTTTCCAGTACAATTTCATGGAGGTGTTTTGGGGAGAGGGCATTTTTCACTGAATGAAGAATCAACTGAGTAACAAAATAAGAACCCTGTTTGCTGGGGAAAACGTGTCCCTTTTTGGAAACACTTCAGAACTGCTGCTATAAAGAAATTCTTTGAATTGATTGCAGTTTTTTTTACATGAAATAGTACTTTTGGCTAAAATTGCTATGAATATTTTATCTTTTTGAGATTTTCATCCTTTTTAAGCACCAGAAAGCTGAAGTGTGTGAAACCCTAGCTAATGGCACTTTATTTTATTGCTCTCCATTATTTGATGTTCATTATAATCTCTCCAGTCAAAAAATTATTACTCTATCTGGCACTGTTTCCTGTCAGAAATATGTGTATGCGATATTGACATATAACTATATGTATTGCCATTACACATGAACAATAAAATAAAGTGTTATATTAACTTTCTCTCTTTGGCCTTTTGCAATATGTAGGAATAAGTGAGTGGCTTTCTGATGCTCTGTATGTCAAACTCATCCTTGGCACAAGAAATTCCAGTCATGTGAAGCAAACTGCCCTTTGTCCTCAAAGAAAACTTTTTTAAAAGATTTTTTTCATATTACCTGCCTTGTTTTTATTAACTTGAAATGATGGCATTTTCTAACTGTTTTGTTGGCTACAGTAATTCAGTATTCCTGTCACAATTGAAAAGTGCCCTAATTGAATGTGTTTGAATGTTATCCTTGCACAATTCTTTAAAATTGAAAGACAAAATGTTTTACCTCACTGTTGGACATACATTCCAAGCTTTTCAACTTTAGGAGAAAAAAATAATCATGTTTTCCTGTATTGTAAATTTTAGACTATTTCATATACATTGTATTAAAACTGCCATATCAATTTTAATGTATAGTTTTTGCAAATACTATGCTATATGTAATACCTAACTGTATCTGTAGTGTATATGTAATATATTTATGCCCAATAAATGTTTTAATCCTTTCTGACTTACGTAGGGTTTTCTGCCGTGAACAGGATCGCTTTTGTTGTTGTCACTTTTTAAACACTTAAACCACATTCCAGAAGTTGCGAATTCAAATGCCTTTACAGGTCAGGCAGGTGGCATAGTGCCATCAAAAGGGACAGCTGCCACCTTGCTTATGCTGGTTGACATCCTGCGGATTGCTGGCCACTGTCACATATGCTGATGTTTCAAAAGAAGCTAAAAATCCACATTTCCCTAAGTGGGCCACCTCGCATGACTGCGGATCACCCGGGCTCATGGGCTGCCGGTGTAATTCTGTGTCAGAGTCTGTGGGGCCAACATGCCTCTTCGCCTAAAATTCCATCTGTGCCAAGCCTCAGGAGCTCAGGCCACCTCTGTCCACCTCGTGCCCAGGATGGCGAACGCACAGGGTTGTGACCTCCTCCTCATTCCTCCCAGTCGCATTCCACAACAACAGCAAAAAGCACAGTGTTCCTTCTGTGGCCATGATTTCCTTATGTTTACATTGTGTTGCTGGGAATCTTTACAATCTTTTTTTTTTTCCTCCTGGGGGGAAAAAAATGTATGGAGAGCCTGATTGTAACTCCACACTTTCTTATATAAAGAATGATAGCCATTCTTACAGGTAAAAATGACTAATTGAACAGCAAATTTTGCATGCTCCTAACACACCACTGAAAATAATAGTAAAGAATTTTATTTTTTAAGTCACTCTTCCCTTCAACACTCGAAGAATGGGAGAGAAGTTACTAGCACCAGAATTTTGGAAACCTAACCAAAGGAAGTTGAATGCTAATTTAGTAGGGGGAAAAATGAACACCAACTCAATTAACATGCCTAATACCCTTAAGACTCAAAAACTGACAGAGGCATTCCCATTTGACATGAAGGTGAGGGGGACAGGAGCCTAAATAGCATTGGTTGAAAGCTGTTTAAAATGCCATTAGATCCACAAAATCCATCCCCATTTTTTTCAGCTGGACACCTGCCCCTCCACTCCTGAAGAAGCCTACAAGTTAATACTCAGGAGAAGGTAAAATAGCAAGCCCCTGCACTAGGAGACACTTTCCACAGTTGAGAGTGAAGGTGTCATATCAGAAATGAGATCATGTGAATACAAGCATACAGAAGAATATTAGAGTGTTCAATGAAGCAGTTCGGCCAAAACCCCCTTTGGTGGTACTTGTCAGCCTGAGCTAGACAACAGTGTCACCTGGGGAGCTTTTCAAAACCCCTATCCCAGACCACACCCTACACCAATAAAGTATTTCTGGCAAGTCGATTTTTTAAAGCTCTCAAGTGATCTCCACCGTATGGCCAAGACAGAACCACTGCCCTAAGGTGGAACTCGGAGCCAGCAGTCCCCCGGCAGCTGCTCAGTCTGCCAGCGTAACAAGAGGCGGCCTGACATCTGATGAAAGCTGCTACTAGGAATGGAAGCCCAAAGCCAACAACTCGGAAGAATCAAAGACTAAAGAAGCTTCAGAAAACTCGTATCTCCAGAGAGATGAGAAATGAGAAGAAGTCAAATGTAGAATAAGAATGGAATACTATTGAAAAGGGAATAGTTGAACATGGAAGCATCCTTGGAAATTAAAAATTCAGTATAAGGGCTGGAAGCTGGAACTAAGAGAAGAACCCAAAAAATAGAGCAAACAAAAATAAGAAGATACAAGATGAGGATAACACCATGACATTGATACCAAGTAACAGGAATTCCAGAGAGAACAGAGAAAATGAAGACAAGAAAGTCAGGAAACACATGAGTTTCCATAATGAAAGGGCAGGAAGGTGCTCAACACTGTGGATGAAAATGGACTTCTACCAAGGCATGCCGTCGTGTGATTTCAGACCACCAGGACGAAGGGAAGCTCCCCAAAACATACACAACTGGTCATACAGAAGGACTGGAAATCAGACTAGCTTTACACTTTTCAGTAGCAACTCTGGAAGCTAGAAATCAGTGAGGCAAGTACATCAAGATTTTGAAAGAAAAAGATTTCCGACCTGCTTATTCTCAGTCAAGTGTGAACTATCACAAAAACAGTTTTAGATATGTGAGATCTCACAAATTTGCCTTCCAGGCACCCTTTATCCAAAGCTCCTAGAGGATATGCTCTCCCATGTAAGTGAATATACTAAGCAGCATCCATGTGATTACACCACCAGTGCTTTTGAGGCTGGTTAGAAGTCGGCTCTCTGGCCCTTTGCCCCCAAAGGATTGGTGCGACTTTCACTTTACCCTTTCCCTACCTCCAGTCCCCGTGTGTGCAGACCACACAAAGCACATGCCCCTCAATAGAGGGACTGCAAAATGACCCTTTTAAACAAATCTCTCAGGATACCTTGCCTTGGACTAGTTAAAACTAAACAAATCCATTCACAGGTACCCTTTATTCAGGATGGTAACTTAAGAAAAGTTCGTACCTCTGTGGCTAGACTTGGGACAGAATGTACGCTTGGGGCAACACGTCTCACTCTGCAGCATACACCACATTATCTGGCGCATAAGAGAAGCTTTAAAAGGCATGTCGACATGCACTCAGTGGACTTATTTGGTAGGAAACGTTCTTATAGCAGTGATGCGATCCATAAGACTCCTGTGGGCTCCAAACCATAGTCTTTTCCCTTGGGCAAGTTATTTTGGGTGCTGTGCTTTGATTTTTTTTCATTGAAGTAGTTGTTGTTAACTTAAAATCTGGAAATTTCATTAAAAATTCTGGGATCCCAGATGCTACTGAAATTTGAGAGTCCTGGCCGCCCTCGGTCTCATCCTGGAACAGTGCGGCCACCAGAGGTGACAGCTGTCCTTGGCGGTTGGCATGCTGGCTCTGCGTCGACCACATTTAACACCAAATCCTTGACATGAGTATGGATGATGTCCCTTCTAACAGAAGAAGACCCCATTGTACCCCTCTCCACCAAGTGAGTAAACGGTGGGGAGCAGGGAGACAGGGCAGGGCATCCAAGAATTTGATGAAATGAGGACATCCATAAAAACAACAAAAACACTGACAAAAAAAGTTGCAAAAGGCAACTTTTTCAGAACTCTGGAAATTAACTGAAGACTTGCAACTATCTGAGCCTTGGTAAGAACAGCAGGTTTTGTGGTCCTTTAACCCAGTCTGCTCCCCCTCCCCGTCTCCCCAGCTCCACAAGCCTAGGTAGCCAGCAGAGGGAGCATACTGGGTTTGGAGAGCCTCAAAATGCCTCAGCCGCAGAGCGTGGTCACTGTTGAAGCTGTCTCAACAGCTCCCTGGAAAAGCCCATTGGCAGGCTGTTGTAATTTATCCTCAGAGCTTGTTCTCTGGAAAAACCTGAAGCTCCAGGCATTTGTTGAAAACCAGTGCAGTTTGTTACCCCTGCAGCTGCTCAAGGCTGTAATACCAGCTGGGGCAAAGGGGAACCTGTTCAGAGACGTCAACATCTAGGAAATTAGAGGTCCATGAGGGTTTTTTTAAAGCTTGCAGCATAGTCCTTGGGGTCTAAAAGGCCAAGTGCATATGCTGAGGAAGGACCTTGGAAGGTCTCTCGTTTCTGGCTGGTCACGAGGCCTCATGTAAATGGAATGAAGTCTAAGGCAGGGGTGTAAACTGTGTGTCGAGGGTGTGCTCCCGCATACAGTACAGAGCCCCTTGGCAAGTGGAAGACCTACTGGTTCAAGGCAAAGAAGTCTGGAAGAATCCAATCCGAATTCAAAACTTGGATTTACCCTAATAGGGAGTGTGGCAAAGAAGATCAAAGATTATAGTCTCAACTGTAGTGTTTACCATCTTCACTGTAATTGTAATTTATAGATGAAAAATACATTGTGTTGTGTAATAAAAATTAATTTTATGGGAAACAAAACCACACTGAAGAAATAAAATTCCTTCACCTTTTCTGAGTCAAAGGATAAATAAAAATGCTTCTTAATTTTTTTCCTTAGAACTGAAGGTACAGGTTTTTTGTTCTCTATTCAAGTTATGAGGGAAATATGTTCAATGCTGATTAACAAAATTTCTTTCGTATGTGGGCTATTGAATGCTTGTGATTTTCTGCTAAAGCAGTGTTTCCCAAAGTGAGGAGATGTATGAGAACTAAGCAGTACATCGCCTAACATCTTTAAATATGTAGTTTTTGTCATTTATACTAGGGAAAATTGCATCAGACACATCAAAGAAAAATGTGAAATTGAAGTGGATATTTAAGTTTACAAAAAAGGTGTAACAAGTGAGTAAAAGGTCAGGTGCTACTCAAATGGTAGAAGTCATAGGAATGATAAGCAAACAGTGAAGTTTGAGAACAAGGCATCATGGAAATGCTGTCTCTGGATATGCAAGTGGCGTCTGCCACACAGCACATTAATCAGCATCTACAAATACATTCTTTGTTTCTTCAGGTGAAAAGAGTTTTAAGGAAAGGCAAAGGAAGGGGTGGGAATAATAGGATCCACACAAAACTGGAAACTGACCTGAGCTGGAAAGCTCATGCAGCTGATCTGTGCTCCGTGCCAGCCTTGGGGACCTGCCTATACCTTCCCGTCTCACCATCCATCTCATAGTGTTCACTACTTAGGAATATTCACAGGAGTGAAAATCAGCTTCTCTAAAGTTAAGGTGCTTTCACCCGAACCCTGAGGTTCTATAATGTTAGTTTTGCAGAGTCTGAGATTAGATGGAACAAATTTTGGTTTCACACTAAGCCTGGGGGATAAGACAAAGGTGTCACGGGCCTTGATCATCTGCCCCTCACAGTGAGCGTGAGACAACCTCTCCCACCCGCAGCTCCACCCACATGGTTCTCCACACATTGCTGTGTTCTTCCAAGACCCCGTGCCCAGACTACACTACGTTATTCTGGGGATGGGCCCCTAGCCACTTGATTCAGACTCAAGTTAGTCCTGCTCTAATGGCTAGCTCTGTAAGATGAAAAGCTTGAAAACTGAGTAGCTGTTTTCCTCCATGTAGAGAAAGCTGCTGCTGAGGGAGAGAAAATAATGAAGCTGGCAGGGAAAGAGGA